AATAAAGGCTATGGAAATGTAGTGAATTCAGTAGAAAGCTGAGAGGTTGTCATGGCATCCTCGTTCTTGGCTATTCTCAGCAAAGAATCAATAATGAATCGGTTTTTTGTTCCAACGAAATGGACTGTTTTTGCCTCACACACATGACCCTCAGGAAAAGAATCAACCTTTTAAAATTCCAATTGTTTAATATCTCATACACTCGCATGTACACATACATACATACTTACATACATATATACATACGAGCGCCACTGAGTGGAATCTAAATTCAAAATAAGTATAGTGCTACTACGGTAAGTGAAAGCCTGAAAATTTAAGCCTAGGAAAGAGGATTTGTGATGTACTGGGAGGACGGTGATATGGTGATTCAGAACTAAAACGCTTCGACGAGGGACAGCCTTCGTCAGAAAAGTATGCCATCAGTGTCCGCGTTCTATTTTTAAGAACCCACTATTTATAGAGATTAACCGACCCCCAGTCGGTAAATTCAACCAAGGAACCCAAACCACATCTTTCTGCATTTATTATTTTTATGGCTGAAACAAACGCTCATGACTAAACACACTAAATGTACTTTTCAAACACTACAGCACTGCACCTGGGAAAAATAACGAAATAACGAAAACATGACACTATGTATCATTGGTAAAAGTGTGTTAACCAAACAATGTGCTGTTGCAATGTATTTAAACCACAGTATTAGCGGGGCAAAGAAGTTTGACTTTGGAGACTTCATTTACGGCTATGCTTTAGAGATGATTGAACCACGTTAAGAATCGGAACGCCGTGTTCTATCAGGATTTACTAGACAAGTCTCGACAGGAATTGCTCAAATATTAAAACAGGCGTCTATTTTCAGATTAGAAGAATGTGAAAATTTTCTTTCGTTCTTTCTTTCTTAATGGAAATGTGTCTTCGCGATACAAGAGGTGTCTATATCATCATCAGCTCTCCCCGAGGACGATTCTTTTATCTAGTACAAGGCACCTTTCACATACCACAGATGGCAAACGTTGTGACAAAATTCCTTTAAAGTCCCCGCCAGGAATACTGAACAGCCACTACCAAGACGCTTCTCTGTGAAGCAAAGATAGTTGCTCCATCACTCTCGAGATGTGGCAATTAGATTTGAAAGTGCATGGGCTTTGATCTCTTAGCGTCTTCAGAATATTGCTTCTTATACCTGAGAGAATACATATACACATTTCTTTCCTACAGCAAGTACCATACAATCGTAGAAACAGATTTCATATCTGAATGGGAAAATAAAACGTCCTCTATTCTCTGGGGGGAAAAGGAAAAAAGATGCACGTTGCACTTCGTTTAAAGAGCCATCTGGACAACAGGTTTATTCATCGAACCATATTCCAGCGGCAAATATTGATACATTTTAATCACGGATGCCTTTTGCTTAAATGTGAAGGGAACTGCATATTTAAAAAGTCGCAAAACAACGGGTTAATGGACCGTGCCTTAAATTATTCCTTACTCACAAATCACTGCACCAAACGAACCATTCTCCTGTGTCGAGACATTGAAATAACCTATGAAAAGACATTACCCAATAATTTATTGAGAACAGAAATAAGCATGTAGGTTTAAGTAGCTGAAGAAAGAGTAACGGGGAGAGTGGATTAAGAATGCGCATATGGTCTCAACATGTGACATTTACTTTCGGTAGACTTACATGGAGGTGATGTTCTTCACCAAATCAGGGATGCTGTTACTGTTATTGCCATTGTTCCCAATGTCTTGCACAGCGAGCAAAGGGAAAAATTTCCCATTGTCGGACTTATTGCAGTAGATCTCCGTCTGGGAACAGCTGCAGGTTGGCAGGCAGTCCAGCATGGAACTCACATAGTCCTGGAAGATGCTTAAGAGAAACAATACCCTCCACCAGCAAATTCGGGGTGGATAGCACGATAGATCCATGATTCCAGTGAAACCAGCCAGTGAAGCGTTAGTGTCCTTGTGCGGTTAGTATGTAAGTGAAAATATGAGTGTCGGTGCTCGCTATGTGCTTGCGTGTGTGTCTATGTATGTGCGCGCGGGCGTGTTAATGAGTGTGAAGGTATGCCAAATTAAAGCGAACGCTGTATAGTCCCAGTATTTCAAAGGCCAAAAAGGGGAAAATACTCCGTTACAGTAGAAGGGTCTGAAAAAACAGTACTCCCGGACTGTCGTCCTCTCTAGACTGCATGGTACAGGGTACCGTATCTTCTGGTGCCGTTAGCCACTTTCAGTAGCTCCAGTTTGCTCTCGAGCAGCTCTGGGACTCATATGGATAGCATAAGAGAGACGATAGAACGGCAAGTCGGTCCTCCGAGCATCAAGTCCCACCTACTGGGCAGAATTAAAACTGACACACCTGCAAAACAGAGAAGAGATCAAATCAGATCACGGGCGTCGCAAAGCATTAAAATCACAGAAACATACCGGGAATGAGAGTCGCAAATGTTTTTATATTTAATTGTTTGTGAATGTCCATATGCCTGGCTGTTTTTTGGAGGAGGACCCGGACTCAACTAAATGTCCCACTACAAGGCTAACGCTACTGCCTCACGCAGATGACTTCATCAGTAATCGAGGGTTCTTGTCGCGATCCACGAACTGAAATTATGTGTAGATATATACCGGCAAAATGGGCGAACGGAGGTTTAATTTTCAGAGCGCTACATAAAGGTTGTCATTTGAAGGGTGTGGCATCGGACAGAGTTAAGTACAGTCATTCCCAAATGAGTGTGTTCACCGACATACCAACGACAAGTGAATTCGTAACCTTTAGGTAATTATTCACTAAATTCTTGTTTAAACGCCGGTTCATAGAGGTGAAATGGAGCGTATCAAAATGCGAAGAGAAAATGGTCTGGGAATCGTAGGAGTCTGACGTCACAGTTTTATCAGAATATTAACTTTAGGCTAAGTTACATAACTCAATAATATTAATAATACAGTACAAGTAAGATGCGGATCAGTCAGTGCTGAACATTGAAATGGTGTGGAGAAAGAATGTAGAGTTTCAGCTTGCAGATAATCCTAAAAGTCTCCGTGCTTTCTAAACAGTTGCACAAACGGCTTTAGTGCGCGACGGATTGGATTTTATAAGCGTTCCTGTCCGACACCGCGTCAGAACAAAGAACCATCTGACACTCACTCGCCATCTCTGATTTTTAGACACTTGAGTGACAACGAGCAATGGCAGTTTTCTCAAATAAATGTCAGCTCGCCTAATACGTCGTGAATGTTCTACAGGTTTTTCAGCGAGGCGTCTCTGCTCAATTAGAGTGGGATTCTGGTCGTCACGACTCTGAGCAGCAGTGGCAAAAGTCAGCGGAAGTGGTGTTGTCCATGTTACAGAAATTCAAAAATTTCGAACGAATTTTTGAACAGACATCTAATATCCCAACGAATGCTTCGAAAATGAAAACGGAAACGGCACGCCTAGGTTTGCGCTTGGATTCAGATATCTAATCTGGATGTGTGGCCAGTAGCATTTCGCTTGCTTCGAATCAAAGAAGGGGAAACAGCAATGTTTACTTGGAGTTTCACTGCAAAAGAGCAAATTCGCTGCTGGTGTTTTCTAAAATTAATGATAACTTTTTCGAGTGTGTATCAAGAATGACGAATATGTGTGGTTGAGAGCAAATCTTGAGTGTTTAACACGTGGAGCCATAGGACTGCAGTCTTTTATAGTCGCGGTCATGCTCTGTATTAAATTAGTTAAGTAAAATTAAAGGATTTCCGGGGGCAAAGAATTATTGCCATTCTAGGGTGTATCCGCTGTATATTTTTACGCCTGCTGCTTCCGTGTAACGTGTTTCCCAAAGAACGTTGACTTCTTAAATGTGCGGGATAATGTTAGAATACTAGATAAAAATTACTAGGGACATAGAACTGAACTCAATGAATACAAAGGTTGTTACAGCAGGCCCGGGCGTCATTTAACATCCATGTTTTCTAAGTATGGTCCGAGCCTTGTACATTGAAGTATATTAAGCAAACTTGGAAATTGAGAATTCCAAGTTTTCAGATTTTAAAAGAAGACATTTAAATTGCCCCAAACTTGTATTTAACTGCCTTTTCTGCCTTCTTTATTTTAAAGGTAGTCTACTAGACACGGAATAATTCAGCCAAATCTGTTGCCTGTGTAAGGTATTGGTGATTTGTATCCTCACAGGTTATATACTACACAGTTAGATTGCAACAATGTGAAATGGTAATATTTACAGTTAATGGTACTTTCAGAGGGTTCAGGAAAAAGTTGTCTTTTTCTTTGTCAGAGATGGTTATGTGCCCTTTATCACCACAGAAAACAGTGCTGCAGTATAAATGCAATAAACGGTGATTCCAGGAAATCTGAGATAGCATATATGACATTATAACTTATATTATTACAAGACCACACACAAGTGTTCAGGGCAAAAGTCTTGTATTTAAGCTTTCTAATTTGTTGAACTTAACATTACCTGTTTGTTTCATTGTTACAAATTATAAGATCACTTTTGCTAATTTGGGCAGTTATGGTCTGACCTCAGTCATTTTACCCTGTAGAACAGGACATGAGATGTTCACTTTTTATTCAGTAAATATTCACTAAATATTTTATTCACTTTTTATTAATTAATATTCACTTCTCCTTGCTCTTTCTTATTTTATCTTATAGTAAATGCCTCCCTCTTAAAAACTGGAAAGCAACACATGAAATAGTACTGGATCGTACCACTATTTGGTAACTGACCAGAACAGGGGTAGAAGGCACAAATTCATTTTGGATATTTATATGTCTCACAACAGAAGTTCATATCAGTTACATTACATCTCAGTCATCTAGCAGACACTCCCATTCAAATAGACTTAAATTGGTTACAATTGTATCCATTTATACAGCTGGATATGTACTGAGGCAATTGTGGATTAAGTACCTTACCCAAGGGTACAACAGCAGTGCCCCAGTCGGGAATTGAACCAGTGACCTTTCAGTTACAAGCCCTGATCCTTACCAGAAGTGGGGTTTGAACCCATGCTGATATGCATCTATTGGATCTTAAGCCAAACACCTTGACCACTTGACCATCCTGTTGTTTGCATGCAAAACAACAGAGTAATATAGGATGCATAAGAGGCACAAAATAAAAAGTCACCTAACTCTAATGAATTTCCACAGGTGTGGAATTTGACTCTGAATATCACCTCATGAGAAATATTCTGGAAAGAGTCACCATCTCAATGCCATTAAGCACTCATTTGAGAGATTTTTGTGATCTGTGTATTTTATGTTTTGTCCATGTTGCAGATTCACAGGCCAACAGCAAAGGTATATTTTCACGCTGCGAGATGCCTGAGTTTGAAAATACATGGGTAATCTTTAGCCAAGGTAACTCAGTTGCTACCCATGTTTCACTTCAACACCCTTGGTATTCACTGTAAGTGTATATTTCTGTCTCATAAAGCATGAAGAACCTAGACAATATGTGGCTTGGTGTTACTTTGCTCACTAGTCTGGTGTGCAGTTCAGCTCCAGGTCAGAAAAATGTGTCTGTTTAATATTATAGCAGTCACAGCTGTGAGAGCAACATCCTTGGGATCAAGCTTCCCAGCTTTAAGGGATTCATGCTTTTTATTACATGGTTTAACCTTTTTACTGTGTGGGCAGTCAGAACGTAGCCCTTGATATAGGTCTGCACAATATGTTGACAGAAGTATAGGATTAAATTGCATTCATTTAAATGTGAATAAGGCACTGGCATCAGTCAATTGCCAAATGCCCTTTGCACTTTGGTGCAAAAATGTAGACAAGTGTTACATTGTTGGACTATGAAGTAAGTTTGTTTTTATTGATTCCTGAAATTACAAAAAATGCAACAGAAGAAAGTAACACTTGCTTAAATTCTATATGCAAAAGAACCACACTTTTATTATTTTGATGAAAGACTCCTGTTTCTGTTTCATATATAAAAAACAGTAAACATGCATACAGTTAAATTTCATTGAAACTAGTTGTATGAACTAGAATAACTAAAATAGAGAAATATTATTTAAAAATCTTATAACCATAAATCTTATAACTGATTATGAAATGTGACAGTTGCATTAAATGTGTTAAGCAACTGTTAGAAACACAATGGAAGTATGATATCTAAAAAAATGGAAGGTGTGACAAAAGGAATTGAAATAATTATTGGATTTGATTTGATATTTCCAGTTTATATGAAATAAATCGCTTTCTTTTTAAGGAGAAAAATCCAGTATCAGATAATCTGCCACCATGCAAGTTTTCTGGTACTACTCAGGGCATCCTCATGTTAGCCTACCAACTGCATGTGGCAATTAATAGACACACACAAACAATCATGCATGCATGCACAGAGGTATGCATGAACCCCTGCACATGTGCACATAGTCCATCCCGATCTCTATCTTCTCTGTCTTCTCTTCTCTATCTCTGTCTTTTTCCTACCCCAGTTTGAAAGAGGAAAAGAAAGCCATAGAGAATGAAATTCCATGAGGTTCCCAAGACAAAGCAGACTGGAAAAAAAATAACATTGACCTGTTGAGCAGCAAGACTGACCCCCAAGTGACTCACACAATTCAATAAAGGTTTATTCCTGACTCATTTTCCTTTAATACATGACACATCAAAATGTGAGAACCAAAGGACAATTATCTTCTCCATGCAGAGATGTGGTAGAAATTTTACCAACTTTGATCATTGTCATAGTTTCTATAAATGCTATACTCTCTCTCTAAGAACATCTAAGCTTCCAATAGATGATCCTACAGCACTCAAAGAGGTGAGATAACTTAAAACTGAGATAGTCAGCGCCATGGCTAAACATATGCTGATGCCCTCCGCTTGGGTGACATTTATCATTTGCTTTCCATTCATGTATCTGATGATTTTTGGTTTAGTGTAACTTTATTATTCTGGAAAGCCATATTACATATCAGATAAGGAACTAGGATTCATAACAGATATTTTAGTAAAATGTAAATAATATTACTTCAGACCATTTCAAGAAAGTAATTTTCTGACTTCTAACCCTGAAATCAAATTTATGTCTCACCACATACAAAAATAAATCAATTCCTAGTGTTTGCAACCTTCACAGTGTATATTTTAAATTCCATCTGAGAGGCTGAATAAAAAATTGCACACACACACATCCATATATTATTGGATTTCTGTTAACTTTGGCACCTCTATCTTTGCCTGGATGAGTTCCATAAAACATAGAGCTAAGAGGACCCATTTCACCCACCTCTCCTCCTCCATAACCCTCCTCCATAAGGGAAAAGCCAGCCAATCATGCATATACTTTTTACATCTACACATACAAACAAAATTAGCAACAGCATCACAGTAAACAGTCCACAATCAAGATCAGTACCATGGACAGTTCTGCTATGGCAGGTCTACTGTATACTTAATTGATATTTCTACAATTTCTTGATAGGTTTGCACGTATTTACATAAGATGTTAGGTTAATACACTTATTACTATTATTGTTAAAGGCAGTATTGGTAAGTGTGGTAGCTATTATGTTGTGGCTTAAAAAGTTGTATTGTTTTATGTGCGTGTCTTATTGCATCCATTTTCTTCTCAGGAGTCTTTAATCCAGATTTCATATCTGCTGGAGCAGTGAGACAATCTGGATTGGTGATGGAGACCCTTGAAGATACTGCAGACTCTTTGTTGTATATGTGTTTATTAATCTCACTGGTATATGCATAATGCTTATACTTACAATTGTTTGGAAAATCTGGAGACAATGAGGCATGAAAATCATCTGACGTCTATGAAAGTAATCAAATTTTCCAAATGATTTTGTGAGTGTGTGTTGGTGTGTGTTTCCATTTAACAAACACACGTGATACTGGAAGTAAGCTATAGATATTTCATAAGAAATTCCCCAATAGCTGCATGTATGCTGCTCATATTCATTCAATTCCTTTGTCACATTAAGATGAAAACATCAATGACAGGGCAGACTGACATTATTTATGCATTTATTACCTCCACAAAATGTAGGTTGTGCTGCTATAGAGCCTAAATTATGAGTGCAATTTGTATCATTTCATGCCAAGAACATCTCACACTGTTGAAACATTTTAACATAATGGAAACAGTTTATCGTTGTAGCAATTCTCACAGCCACATTTGAGAAAAACACGAATAGACAATAAGAGAAAACATCTATTCAATCCAAATAATGCATTAGATTGTTCACCTTTCCTCCCTGACAATTTCATCTGCAGTTCTGCAGCAATGCACGCATATGGAATTACACAGAAGTACATCTAAAAGTTGAATATAAATCTGCATGTCTCCATTGGTGTTTTTTGTCTTAGATGTGTAAATTTTAGATATCACTACAACACACCCGGCACAGGGTAAAAGGGAGGCCTGATACCACTGTGTTATCTATTTGCCATTTGTTTCACGTCGAACATTTACTTTGGCTTTTGGCAAAGAATTATCCCGGAGCAGCGGGTAGGAATCAGAGCAGCAGCCCCCTCCCTGCCCACGGTGCAGCAGGTGTCTGCTGGAACCGCCCTTCCTCGCTGCACTGACCTGCCCCATCTCTGCTCGTTCGCCGAGATGTGAAAAGATCGGCTTCCACACCCCTGTGGCTGAAGGCCTGTTCGAGAGTGTGGTGAATCAAAGCCATCTGTCAGCCTCGGCCTGCAAGCATTATCTGCGGAGATCCACATTAACGGGAGACGCGTTGAATTCATCAGAATTTGACAACGCATCTAAAAATATGCACTGGTGAACAGAACTTAACTACGCATCCCGCACAAAAGCTAATAGGCAAGAGTATTGAAAATCTCATGAGCATCCCCCCTTCTGGTAAGAGAATACACAGAAAACTGATATGAGTCCAGATGGTCAGTTTTGATCCATTATCCACTAAACCTAGAGAAGTCACTGTAGAGGGGACTAAGGTGAAAGAAGTGGTTTCAGGTTCTGCTAGCATCCAGTTGGCTAGGTTAGCTACCTAGCAACCTGCACTACCCACTTAAATGGCTGTCAGATTTTGGACATTGTATCACTGGAGCCGAGACATAAGATGCAGTGAGGGGGCATCGTTTTGACCTCCGGTTCTGAGGTTCTGGTTTTTGTTTTCCTACTTCCACTCCTCCTGCCTTCAAAACCTCTGCTGCACCTAGTGGCCATAGACCAGATATCAGATTAATGTGTTGTCCATTTCCTGGTTATTTTTTTTTAGCCCTGGGGTCTCATATTGTTCTTTGACATAAAATCCAAAAGGTTTAAATTAGTACTGTCTGTCCCAAGACCCCTGAACAGTGCCTCGCCATCTTAAACTTTTTTGAAGATAAAATTAGCCAAATCTACTGCAGTTTCACACCCAATGCCATCTCTCTCTCTTCCTCTTCTCCTTCTCTGGGCCCTCAGCTCACCCATTTCACCACTGTAGACTCCCTTACTGTCTCTGACATCATCACTAAGTCTAACTCCTCTTCATGCAAGCTTGACCCAGCCCCTACCCCACTACTTAAAGCATGCACCATGGTCATCTCTGAACCCATCACATTGCTTAAACTCCTGCCTCAGTTCTGGTGTTGTTCCTGCTGCCCTTAAAACTGCTGCAGTGACACCTACTCTTAAAAAGACTGATTCCGATTCAACCTCCCTGTCCAACTACCGCCCTATCTCCAACCTACCCTTTTTAGCCAAGGTACTGGAGAGAGTGGTGGCCTCACAACTACACACCTTTCTCAGCCACCACGACCTATATGAGCCCTTTCAATCTGGTTTCCGCACACATCACAGCACAGAGACAGCCCTATTACGAGTGGTCAATGACCTTCTCCTGTCTGCTGACTCTGGTTCATTAAACATCCTCATCCTCCTTGACCTAAGTGCTGCTTTTGATACTGTCAATCACAAAGTTCTCGTCTCCCGTCTGTCTGCTATTGGTGTCTCTGGCACAGCTCTCACATGGTTTCAGTCATACCTCACCAATAGAAAGCAGTTTGTCACACTTGGTCCACATAAATCCCCCATGTCCCCTGTCACTTGTGGTGTCCCCCAGGGTTCTGTTCTTGGACCTCTC